GAAATTCCCCCTTCCCTTTTGGTAGAATATATAGAGGTCCGTTTTATTGCTGGGGCAACAAACCACTACATTCAAGTGACTTGTTGGAGCTAAACTGTTCTCAGTGGTGGCGGCTGACAGAACAAGGAGCAGTGGTCTCAAGTTGCAGCAAGGGAAGTTTAGGTAAGGTATTAGGAAAAATTCTCTCACTAGGAGGGTAGTAAAACATGGGAACAGTTTAACCAGAAAAATGGCGGAATCTCCATCCTTGGAGGTTTTTAAAACCTGGCTAGACAAAGCCTTGGCTGGGATGATCTAGTTGGGGATGGTCCTGCTTTGAGCAGGTGGCGGGACTAGATGAACTCCTGAGGTCCTTTCCAACCCTAATTTTCTATGATTTTATGATTCTAATTTCATATAAAGCACTAACCTTATAGGTAGCAAAATTGCTCCAGCCTTTACACTTATCACTACAGAATCATGGAGAGGTATTATTTATATAGTAGCTGATGATAAGGCATGCTTCAGTATTGAAAGAATCCTAGATCATAGAAATTAAGGGATGGAAGAGACCTTGAAAGATCATTGAGCACCCCCCCCCCCACCACAGCCCCCCCTTTAAACAATTAAGTCCCCTCTTGAAAACTTTCAAGGTTGGGGACTGTACCACGTTGTTGGGAAGTCTATTCCAGATTCTGGTCACCCTTACCATAAAGAAGTTCTTCCTTGCATCCAACCTGAAACCATCCCCTAACAGTTTATGGCCATTGCTCCTTGTCCTCCCCTGGGGCGCCCTAGTGAACAGTTTTTCTCCCAGCTCCAGATATTTACCCCTTACATACTTAGACAGCCACCAGGTCCACCCTCAGCCTTCTCTTCCCCAGGCTGAACAGTCTTGCCTCATAAGGTTTGTCCTCCAGGCCTTTAATCATTCTTGGGGCCCTTCTCTGGACCCTTTCAAGATTCTCCACATCCAAGTCTATTTTAACACAGAGGTAGGCAACCTCTGGCACATGTGCATGGCATGTGAAGGCATTTTGCTTGGCACTCATGACCTAGGGAAGGGGCTAGGGCTGCACTGCCACAATGATCAGGCCCCTCATGGCTCTCCCACCGTCCGCTCCAGAACTCTGCCCAAAAACATTGCCAACCCCTGGTTTAGCATACTGTGAAGTGCTCTGGGGTCCTACAGACATAAAAACTGTAATGTAGATGCAAAGCACTGATGTTAGCATGCTGTTCTCACAAAAAGGTGGTTCTTAGAATGCTAAGTAGACCCAGGAGAGAGAGTGTGAGAACAGCATGCTCCAACACTGAAGTTAATTCAAGGATTTACCTAACAAAGTGAAATCTCTGACAATATAATGTTGTTTGCAAGCAACAGCTCCAACCTCCAGGTGGCACTAAAATACCAAAAATAATGATCCACCGTTTTATATGCAGTTTTTTCTTTAACTAACTGCAAAAAACAACCTGTTTTCCAGCTGAAATCATCTCGAGGGAAAATAGATCATAGAGAAGAGAAGGTGGCACCCCTTGGGTGGCCAAAATCCTAGCAGCAAGATAGAGAGAAGACAGAAAGAACTGATTATGAATAAAGAGCCCAGAGAAGAACAGCATGATAGGAAGACAAGGAAGAAGACAAAAGGATGGAAATGAAAGAAAGAATAAAATAAGAGAAGGATAAGATGAAGGGAAGGACAGAAGAATGGAAGACAACCTCTTGGGTCAATAAAATTGTATTTATGAATTGCATTATTATACTGCACTGTAGTGGGGTATAGGTTTACATCAGTCATGTAAATCAGTCCAGACTCCTGATAGTAATGTGGCACTTACTGCTTTCAGGAGTGGAATATTTGTTGCACTAGAAATCTTTCCCATCTGTACACAAAGAAATGAAGTTACATGATAGGGATATGACAGAACAGATTCTGTATAGGAAAATAATATTCCTCTATTCTATTGGGATTCTTTGAGCATATTAACACAACTATATATAAATATAAAACAGTTTTTCAACAGCTTTTGTAAAAATTTAAATTACTAAATGAAAATAAAGCAGTCCCAAACTAGTAGCCAGATACAGCAAGAAAACAAAGAAAAAAGTTAATGGTCAGTTTTCAATTTAGCATACAGTTCAAATTAGTTTTTGCATAATTTTTGTTAACATATATTCATATAAAAATTACTTGGAAAAAGATAAGGAGCAGTATGTTGAAGAAGTTAGCAGATAACAATCTATTTAACTAGGTCAACAGGAAAGACTGAAAGGTACATCAGGGATGACCTAATAAAATAGATAAACAAGTAATGAGAGCAGAAGAAACTAGATGCTGACAAATCCAAGGTAATCCAAACCAAAAAGAATAATCTGAACCACTGATATACAGTAAGGTTCTAAGTCGATTGTAAAAACTCAGGAAAGATCTGGGCAGCAGTGTGGAAAACTCAGGGTTCCAGAGCAATCAAAATGAACAAATAAAGTTTGGAGGCCTAAATAATGGAATTAGGAACAATAATGCAAAAAAATAGTATAAGAAATCAACGGTCCCTCATCACCAGAGATCCAGGTTTTCTGTTCCCCAAGGAATAATGAAGTAAACTGTGGATTTTACCTTTCACCAGAGGCAAACGCGGATTTCTCATTTTACAAGATAAATCCGCTAATTTTGCCATTTTGCAATGAGCTCCCTGCAGGCTGGCAGAGTTCCAGCCTGCAGGAAGATGGGAGGGAGCAGGAGGAGGGCAGAGAGACAGGGGGTGCTACATGCATGGACATGTACATGGCCCCAGGCAGCCCGCAGAGCATCTCCAGCAGGTAAGTGTGGTGGAGAGAGGGAGCTGGGCAGGGCTGAGGCTGCTGCCCAGCCAGATGAGGCTTGCAGTCACAATGTGCGGCTGCACGGCCCCAGCAGGGAGCATGATGGGGCCATAGGTGGCTCGTCTGGGGGAGGGGGAAGGCCAGCTCCCTGCTGCCGCGCACACTCCCAGGGGGCAGGTGGGATCCATGCCCCCCAGATCTGTACCCAGGGCAGGCACAGGCTGTGGGCTCGGGCTCCTGCCCTGCTTCCCTCTCCCAAGGCTTCTGGAGCCTGGCTGTACCTGGGGGCGGGGCGTGCAAATCAGGGCAACCACCCTGGGCCCCATGCTTTGGGCGCCCCTGCAGACAGTGCCATACAGGGCTCTGAGCTCCAGCTGCTTGCTCGCTGCCACGCCCCTGGTCCTGCACAGGCTGATATGCCCCTAGGCCTCGCACACCCCTAGGGACGGCTATGCCCAGCGGGCATCACCTGGCACAGCTGGGGACAGCAGGGCCACATGGGGATCTCTTCACTGCTGTTTGCCCCCCATTGTCCTGGCAATGCACCCCCTGCCCCTGCTTTGAGGGGAGCAGTACCACACTGCTGCCCTCACTGCAGCCCTGCATGCAGGAGGTGCGTCAGCGCAGGGCGCGCAGTGGTGAGATCCCCACCTGGCTCCGCTAATGCCTGCCATGTCAGGTTGTGCCTACTGGGATTCAGAAGCCCCAGGGGAGGGAGGCAGGGAACATTGGAGCTGCACAGAGAAGCTGCTAGTCGCTGTTTCTTGCTGCCTTGCTTCCCTCTCCCGGGGCCTCCAGAGCCCAGCAGGCACGACCTGGTACAGCAAGGAGCAGCAGACCCATGCATGGATCACCTTGCTGCTGCTCTCTCCCCATTGCCCCAGCAACATGCCTCCTGTACGTGGGGCTGTAGTGAGGGCAGCAGCGCAGGGCTGCGCTCCTTAAACCAGCGGCAGGCACAGGAGGCAGCGGGTGGGCAAGCAGCGGTGAGGAGATCCCTGCGCAGCCCCACTGCCCCCAGCCACACCGGGTTGTGTCTGCGAGGCTCTGGAGGGCCAGGGGGAGGAAAGCAGGGCATAAACCTGAACCCGCAGCCTATGCCTGTCCCAGGTACAGATCTGGGAGGCACGGGTCCTCCCCTGTCCCCCCGGGAGTGCAATCAGTAGTGAGGCATTGGCCCGCCTGTGCCCACAGCAGGGAGGGAGCAGGGGCAGGGGCCTGCAAACCCAGGTCCATAGCCCTAGCAGCTGGAGGCCCCCTCTGGCAGGGCTGGGGGGTGAGGGGTACTAGCAAGGCTGTGCGGGCTATGGGCAGGGCTTTAATTTTAAATCACAGATTTTGGGGGTTTTAGCACAGAATTTGGTATATTTTAATCAGGGAAAACCAGGATCCCTGCTCATCACAAAAGGATATTAGTAGAAATAGAAGGGGGTAAAATGACCAGTGACAAAAATGAGTGGACAAGTAACTCCATCAGAAGACAAGCTGAAAAAGACTAGGACTGCTTTACATAAGTGAAATAAGAAGTATAAAATGATTGTTAACTAGTAAAGGGAAATCAAGCACAGCTGACCATAATGTGACATAACAGAGAACTTTATAGTACAGACCTGCTTAAGTTTTGCCTTAGTAATTAGGACACCTCTAAACTGACATGCCAATCACCGGCAATGCCTCTCCCTTGCACACAGATGTAAATACTACCAGCAAAGACTAGTACTTCTGATTGTATGGCTCATGTCATTACATCAGGGCAGGCAATTATTTCAGGCGGAGGGCCGCTTACTGAGTTTTGGCAAGCCATTGAGGGCCGCATGACAGGCAGCTGGGGGCAGATAAATAGTAATTTTCTAAATTATTTAGGGGCCCCACGGGCCAGATAGAATGGCCTGGCAGGCCACATCCTTCCAAATACCTTTCCTCCAGCAAATTTGAAATTGACATGCAAAATTCTAGCTAACTGCAAGGTGCTGTGAAATTTTGCTGTGACAGAATGAAAGCATATGAAATTTCTATTGCTGCTAGGAAGGGCCAGCAGGGAGAGATAAAAGAAATACTAATAGCAGTAAGTACAGTTGCTTAAGCACCCAATTAGCAAACACTGACATAAATTTCAGGCACTTTGTGCTGAACATTTCAACAATAGAAAAACATGGAGTATTTTGATGTGGGATTATCCCATTTGCTTTTAAAGCCTAGCGAACTTTGTCAGTGGCATGACAAGTGAACCAAGCGGTCATAGTTTTGGTATGCAAGAGCACATCAGATTTATTATCAGTAAAAATTTCAAACTACATACAACTGATCTTTCCTCTAATGGCAAACCTAGTTTTTGTACAGACCCTGTAAGCTATCACAGATAGAGGCAAATAAATATTGTGAAGCGTCACAAGAAAAATGCTATGCAGTCTTTTCTGCAAGAGATAAAGGGTAAAAAAACAAACAGTAACTTGACACTAACAGCGATCAACTTGAAACAGAAACAGCCTCCAAAACTAAAGCATAGGAAGCCACCTCAACTAGATTGTACAAGGATTCTCTAGGACAGTGCTGCCCAAATTGCAGCATGTGAGCAGTTAACTTGTGGCCTGCAGGCTCCCGGCTGGGCAACCCTCCTCTTCACCCCTTTACTCCTGCTCCAACTAGGATCTTCAGGTTCCCACTAACTTCTCCAGCTTCTGCTTACTTCCCCTTGGCCCTGGAGGGCCCACAGCAGCTCAGAAGTTGACAAAGCTGGAGAACTTGAACATGAAATGGAAATTCTGTATGTTTGTCAGTACAACAGTGATTCAAGGTAAAGGGAAACCCTTAAATCAAAATTCAAACTCCTGGTTATATTACAACTGTATGCTGAATAGGAAATACTTCCCATTGTTTTTCCAGTTGCTTGCATCCTAATGAGGGGACTGCTCACTTGCATATATAATAAGGCACCTACAGGTAGGGTCTGTCAAAAGAAACTAACTCCCTGTCTACCTAAGGATGTTATATCAAAGTATAGGTAGTATACCTGAAATGTTATGCATATACATTCAACTTTTCTAATCCAGATTACTTGGCATTTTAAAATTTCAGGACATTACTCCACTTTGGTAACTGCTCACATTAAGAGTCACATGAATAAATTCCTAATTGCTACCTAAACTACACAGCTTTACACTTGGGGAAATACAGATGCAAAGAAAAGTTAATCCAACAGGCTTGGGGTCACCTTTAACCATCCTGTATTGTATTAAAACACAACTGTATGAAGGAATTTAAGTTTTTTTTCCTAGATCCCAGCTGTCCAGAGCCATGATGGGTAAGGCAGGAGAGCTTCTCTCTACCTGCTTGGCATATACACCCCCAACCTCTCCCACCCCAAAACCAGAACTCTAAAAATGGAATCCACATTGTAGCGAGAGCTTTAATTGCCTGTTGTATCAAATCCCACCCACATATTTTAGCCAGCCACACTTACTGTCCACATATCCCTTCCCAGGCTTCTTCAAATTTCTATCTCACTCTCATGCTCTGACCGTGGCCCTCTTCATTCCTCTCACTCAAGATGCTGGCACCACTGAGCAAAGAAAACAAAACAGAACAAAACAAATTGCACTTCTTGATAAGCATATTTATTATGGCAGCAGATACAGAAAGAAAAATAATTTAAAAAGGTACAGGAATACTGCCTAAATAATTTACTAGCTTTTATTAAAGTTGAGTGGTCATGAGGTAAGTGACCCAAATCAGGCTAGACACATTTATAACGTTTATCTTTACAGCAATTACTGCATCATTTCATTAATTTTGCAATATACTTTATGCTGATCTGTAGGTACCCAAAGAAAAAGAAAAATAGCAATATTGTTCTCTTTTGGCACAACACTGCAAAACAAAATGTCTCTCAGAACTGTTCATAAGGTTATTGTTTCCTGCCTCAATTGGGGTTCAAATTCTTGCTGAACAGAAATGTTGCATGCCTTCCTGGTTAAACACTGTCTTTTTAAAGATTTTTTCATGTCCTCTGGATACTCATCTTACAATAAATTCATTTAGCAAAAGGACAGCCTGAAGGGGCTCCAGGTTTGAGGCTGTGGCCCATCACCCCCCACAGGCACTGGTTTCCCCAGGTGGTCGTTGTGGATTTTTTTTCAGTAGATTGGGGGCATGAATATTTTCTGCGGGCTCCCACATGCAATCTACTCAGTTGTACAACTTTCCCCACTTCCACTTTGAATCTCCACTAAAATTTTCCAGACTAGGTAGTCCTTCTGTCCCTAGATTGTTATGGAAGGGGAGGAGGTTGGTTACAGTGTGGAAAAGAACTGACACTTACTCAAGCTGCATATAGAGATGTGGAATATCAGGTGGATCTCCAGTGTCCAAGGGAGTTGCATCTCAAAGTCTACTAGGTTGATTTGACCGATTATGAGTATGGGGCCATTAAAGTGGTGGTCTAGCTTTGGTGAGGCCAGCCTGCGTGGAGGTGTTTGGCTGACAACCATACTTAGTAGGCAGGTCCTGACTGCTTATGTAGGTCTCTTGCCTTTTCCAAGTGTTGCTTTGATTCCTCCTGGATCTTATCAATATGTACCCCAGTGATCCTCAACCAGGGGTATGTAACCCCCTGGGGGGGTCACCGCAGGTTTCACGGGAACTGCAGGGGGCGCAGACCTGGCGCGATTGTGATCTCCGAGGTCAGTTGGGGCAGCCAACACCCGGGCTGAGCCTGCTGCTGCTGCCACTATCCAGTTTGCAGAAAAATGTGGATTTTCTTTTTTAAAGGAAAAAATTTGGGAAACAATGGGTTTCTCTTTGCAGGCTAGCAGCATTTCAGCTTGCAAAGGGCTATTTGGGACTGAAGGGAGCAGAAGGAAGCCAAGGGGGGGTGCTACATGCATGTGTGGGAAGGCAGTGTAGAGAGCCTGAGGGGAGTGGCAACATCAGATCATACCTCCCCCCCACCCAGCGGGTTGGGAGTGAGGGACACCAGCAAGGCTGTGTGGCTCAGGGATTGTGGGTTAGGAGTCAGGGGCACCAGCAGGGTCAGAGGGCTGCAGGTCAGGAGTGAGGGGGGCTTAGAGTCCAAAACATCTGAAAACCACTAGTGTACCCAGTCCATAGCCATGGGGCTGAGCAAGTGTGTGGATAAGGTGGGGTGCAAACAAGGGTAGAACCCATAGTTTGTGAAGAACAGGCCTTGCCTGGCTAAGACATGCTCAAAAAGTTACTGTAGGATAATTCTGAAACTGTTAAGATAACCTGTTATTCTGTTTGAAACCAAGGTGACAACAGAGGTACTGACCCAGGACTAGTTGGTCTCATCTGTCTGGCCATCTGTCTGGGAATGGCAGGCCAATGTGAGATGGGCATATATTGCGAGAAGTGCAAGGCCCCAGAACCAGGAAATGAATTGGAACCCATGGTCAGGCACGATGGAACCTGAGAGGCTGTTGAAGGCCAACTGTATGGTTCAACCACAGCCATGCCATATCCTGTGCTGATGGAAGGTCCATGCAATGGTAAAAGTGGTAAATGGGCCATTTTAGTGAGTTGGTTCATTACGGTCAGGATCGTAAATCAACTGTTGAGATGGGCAGGTCTACAATGAGGACCTGGGAGACTGCAGATAATGGCCAGAGCAGGGTGGGAAGGGGTTAGAGGAATCTGCAAGGCTTCTGAATGGGTCTCTTGGTGTGGGCACAAACACTGCAAGAGCAGATAAAGGCCTGCACCATGTTGCAGTCATGACTGCCAAAACTAGCGGGAGGAAAGCCAATGTATCTTCTCTGTTCGGGGATAGCCTGCTAACAGGGAGTCAGTTCAGGAGAAGGCCAGTTATAGTTTTGCCCAATCCAGGGACACGCAGATTCTACCCCCAGTAAAAATGACCTAGTAAGTTATCTGGAAAGCAAAGCAGGAGAAGGTGCCCAAAGGTGTCTCTGGTTGAGTGCCTTAGCCTTCTGGAAGTACCCCAGAAACTTATGGTCCTGTACCCCATGATACAGCCCTTCCCAAAGCCACTCTGATGGCTAAGAATTCAGAGCCCAGGATTTTGTAATTTTGTTCCACTAGGGTGAACTTGCAAAAAGGTGGCACAGGAGTTCAGGGCCTGCCATTATGAGAGCACTGTACCAATGGGCAGTGCTGGAGGCATGTTTCCAGTACCAAAAGCAAGGTTAGATCTGCATGGGTTAAGAGAGGTTTAAGTGGGATGGAGCTGTGGGCAGCTTGTCCAGAGGGCATGGCTTCTGCTGCTGCACACCCCCCAGCAGATGCGCCCCCAGATGTGTGTGCAGGACAAGGGTGGACTGAGGCCAGGGGCTGCACCTGCCT